TGGGTTGTCTCTTCACTTTATTGATTGTTTCCTTTGCTGTGCAAAAGCTTTTTAACTTGATATGATCCCATTTGTCCATTTTTGCTTTGGCTGCCTATGCTTGTGGGGTATTACTCTAGAAATATTTGCTCAGACTAATGTCATGGAGACTTTCCTCAATGGTTTCTTGTAGTAGCTTCAAAGTTTGAGGTCTTAGATTTAGGTCTTTAACCATTTTGATTTGATTTTTGTATATGGAAAGAGACAGGGGTCTAGTTTCATTCTTTTGCATATGGATATCCAGTTTTCCTAGCACCATTTATTGAAGAGATTGTCCTTTCCCCAACGTATATTCTTGGCACCTTTGTCAAAAATGAGTTCACTGAAGGTGTATGGATTTATCTCTGGTTCTTTATTCTGTTCCACTGACCTATATGTCTGTTTTTATGCCAGTACCATGCTGTTTTGGTTACCAAAGCTCTGTAGTATAATTTGAAGTCAGGTAATATGATTCCTGTAGTTTTGTTCTTTTTGCTTAGGATAGCTTTGGCTATTCTGGGTCTTCTGTAATTCCATGTAATTTTTTTTTTTTTTTTTTTTGAGATGGAGTCTTGCTCTGTTGCCCAGGCTGGAGTGCAATGGCACAGTCTCAGCTCACTGCAACCTCCGTCTCATGTGATTCTCCCACCTCAGTCTCCCAAGTAGCTGGAATCACAGGTGCCCACCACCACGCTCAGCTAATTTTTGTATTTTTAGTAGAGATGGGGTTTCACCACATTGGCCAGGCTGGTCTCGAACTCCTGACCTCAAATGATTCACCTGCCTTGGCCTCCCAAAGTGCTGGGATTACAGGCATGAGCCACCATGCCCAGCCAATTTCATATAAATTTTAGGATTGCTTTTTCTATTTCTGTGAAGCATGTTATTGGTATTTTGATAGGGATTGCATAAAATCTGTAGATTGCAGCCAGGCGTGGTGGCTCATGCCTGTAATCTCAGCACTTTGGGAGGCTGAGGTGGGTGGGTCACGTGAGGTCAAGAGTTCGAGACCAGCCTGGGCAACATGGTGAAACCCCGTCTCCACTAAAAGTACAAAAATTAGCTGGGCGTGGTGGTGGGCGCCTGTAATCCCAGCGACTTGGGCAGCTGAGGCAGGAGAATCGTTTGAGCCTGGGAGGTGGAAGGTGCAGTGAGCTGAGATCATGCCACTGCACCCTAACCTGGGATATAGAGCAAGATGCTCTCTCAAGAAAAAAAAAAAAAAAATCTGTAGATTGCTTTGAGGAGTAATTGTAACAACTACATTGTAATAATACTGTTTTTTTTCAATCCATGAACATGGAATATCTTCCCATTTTTGTGTCCTCTTCAAATTATTGCATCAATATTTTATAATGTTCATTGCAGACATCTTTTGCTTCTTTGGTTAAGTTAATCCCCAGGTATTTTATTTTATTTGTAGCTATTATAATAGAATTACTTTCTTGATTTCTTTTTCAGATTCTTTTTTTTTTTTTTGAGACTGAGTCTTGCTCTGTTGCCCAGGCTGGAGTGCAGCGGCACCATCTTGGCTCACTGCAAGCTCCGCCTCCCAGCTTCAAGCACTACTCATGCGTCAGCCTCCCAAGTAGCTGGGACTACAGGCACATGCCACCATGCCCGGCTAATTCTTTTTCAGATTCTTTGCTGTTAGCACATAGAAATACTACTGATTTTCATATGTTGATTTTGTATCCTGGAACTTTACTGTATTTATCAGTTCTAATAGTTTTTCATGGAGTCTTTAGGTTTTTCCAAATATAAAATTATATCATCTGCAAACACAGATAATTTGACTTCTTCCTTTCCAATTTAGATGCCCTTTATTTCCTTCTCTTGTTTGACTGCTTTAGCTAGGACTTCCAGTTCTATGTTGGGTAACAGCAGTAAAAGTGTGCATCCTTGTCTAGTAGCTTTCTGAAAACAGATGCATGGAAAGCAAATGTCTAAAAAGTTCTCATTCTACTCTCATATTTGATTGATAGTTTTTGATTAGATAGAAATAAGAATGTTAAAGGCATTGTTTATAGTTGCCAGTGTTGCTGTTAGGAAGTTCAAAGCTATTTTAATTCCTTTGTATATGATATCCTCTCTCCTCTCCGGGAGCTTGTAAGGTCTCTTTGTTAGCAGTTATAAAATTTCACAATGATAAACTTGGTATGTTTCTTTTCTCCATTTTACTGGGAACTCAGTTTCCTTTCAGTCTAGAAATCCAGCTCCTTTTATCCTAAGAAAAATTAAAAAATAATTTCACTGATGTTTTCTTCCCCCTTCATTTCTTTCTTTCTAGAAATCCATGTTCTAATTCAGAGGCATTAATTCATTAATTACATTTAATCATCTTTGTATTTCATTTCTATGAGATTCTAATTTCTTTCTTTTCTTTCTTTCCCTCCCTTCCTTCCTCCCTCCCTCCTTCTCTTTCTCCCTCTCTTTCTTTCATTTTTTGAGACAGGGTCTCGCTCTGTCACCCAGCCTGGAGTACAGTAGTACAACCATGGCTCACTGCAGCCTCAACCTCTTAGACTCAAGTGATCCTCCAACCTCAGAGATTCCAATTTCTTAAACGATTTTCTTTTTTACCTAGATCACTCATATCTGAAACCATTCCTTTTTGCCAACAATTTGATTTTCAGTGGTGTTTATTCCATTCTTTTGCTATTTTAAAATGTATTAACTCTGTAATTATTTAAACCTGGTTTTGTTTTTTTTTTGAGACCGAGTCTCACTCTGTCGCCCAGGCTGGAGTGCAATGGCATGAGATTGGCTCACTGCAACCTCTGCCTCCCCAGTTCAAGTGATTCTCCTGCCTCAGCCTCCCAAGTACCTGGGACTACAGGCACATGCCACCACGCCCGGCTAATTTTTGTATTTTTAGTAGAGATGGGGTTTCACTGTGTTAGCCAGGATGGTCTCCATCTCCTGACCTTGTGATCCACCCGCCTCTGCCTCCCAAAGTGCTGGGATTATAGGCATGAGCCATTGCAACCGGCCAATCCTCTTTTTTTTTAGTTCTATAATATCCTCTTTTTTATCATCTCATTGCTGAACTTTTATTTATTAAATTCATGTTTTAATAAGTAGTTTTATGGTTATGCAGTTGCATAGTTTTAAGAAAATTTCTTTTATTTTGTGAGCTATATTCTTTTCAGGATAGCTTCTTTGTCTTTTACAGGATATTTTTCTTGCTTTCATTGTGTTTTCTGTAGCATATTTGTACAGCTGACATTCTGATTCTTTTGATCTTATTCATGCTTGAGTCACGACTCTGCCTGGATGTTTTATTTGTTTTGATATAACACAAATGAATTGTCTCTTTTCCTTCTGTATCTGATATCAGTTACCATGTAAGTACTGGTGTGGAGAAACTGGGGATCTTAATCCCACTTGGTGGGATTATAAAACAGTGAAAATGCCATGGAAACAGTATGTAGCTTCCTCAAAAAATTAAACATCATAGTTCTCTATCATATGATCCAGTAATCTCACTTCTAAATATATATCCAAAATAACTGAAAGCAAGGTCTTGAAGAGATGTCTGTACACCCACGTTCACTGCAGCACTATTCACAACAGTCAAGAGGTGGCAGCAACTCAAATGTCTGTCAGAAGATAAATGGATGACAAAATGTGGTACATACATACAATGGAATATTATTCAGTCTTAAAAAAAAGGAAATCCAGTTATATGCTACAACATGGACAACATGGACATTATGCTAAGTAAAATAAGTAAATAAGTAAAATAAAAAGACAGTCACAAAAAGACAAATATTGTATGATTTCACTTACATGAGACATTTAAAGTAGAATCATAGGTAGCAAGGACTTGTGGGGAGAAAAAAAATGGGGAGTTGTTGTTTGATGGGTATAGAATTTCAGATTTGCAAGATGAAAGTTCTCGAGATCTGTTTCACCACAATTTGAACACATTTAACACTACTGAACTGTTCACTTAAAAATAGCCAGTTAGGGCCGGGCGTGGTGGCTCATGCCTGTAATCCCAGCACTTTGGGAGACTGAGGTGGGTGGACTACGGGTGAGGAGTTCAAGACCAGCCCAGTCAATATGATGAAACCCCGTATCTACTAAAAATACAAAAATTAGCTGGGTGTGGTGGTGGGTGCCTGTAGTCCCAGCTGCTTGGGAGGCTGAGGCAGGAGAATCGCTTGAATCTGGGAGGCAGAGGTTGCAGTGAGCCCAGATTGCACCATTGCATTCCAGCCTGGGCAATAGAGCAAGACTCCATCTCAAAAAAAAAGTCCACTTAGAATGGGCCGGGCATGGTGGCTCATGCCTGTAATCTCAGCACTTTGGGAGGCCAAGGTAGGTAGATCACTTGAGGTCAGGAGTTCGAGACCAGCCTGGCCAACATGGCGAAACTCCATCTCTACTAAAAATACAAAAAATAGCTGGGCATGGTGGTGCATACCTGTAATCCCAGCTACTCAGGAGGCTGAGGCAGGAGAATCACTTGAACCCAGGAGGCAGAGGTTGCAGTGAGCCAAGATTATACCACTGCACTCTAGCCTGGGTGACAGAGTGAGACTCCATCTCAAATAACGAAAAACAAAAACAAAAAACAAACCAAAACAAAACAAACCAAAAAAACAAAACAAAACGAAACAAAAACAAACAAAAAGCCAAAGGTTAGAATGGTACATTTTATGTTGTGTTTTTTTCACTGCTTTTTTTTTTAAAGGGGGTTTTATAACATTGTCAGAAAGACAGTCTTGTTCTTCTCACAGCTGCTTTGCCTGACTCTTATGCAGGATTTGGCTCTACCTTGGCAAGAAAAGACAGAGAAACAGGCTTATGCAGTGAAGAAAAGCCTTCATCTTGTCTCATGGGAAAAAAATTCACATACTTTTGTCAATTTCACACAGTATAGTCTAGTTTTCATTCCCTTTCCCACCCACTGGGTGGTTTTATTTTGTTTTAAGACAAGGATAATTGCCAGAAGAAAACACCCTAGGGCTTACTTCTGTAGGATGGATCCCTTAATGACCAGCTCTTCATCCAAGTCTGCTTCATTAGCCATGAAGAGCAGCCTCTTTCCTGTGCTGTCCACTCCAATGAAGTCACGCTGCTCCACTGAATCATACAAAAGAAAAAAAAAAAAAAATCAAATAAAGCTATTTGCCCTGCCTGCATGAATAAGCCAGGGAACACAGTATCTGCTCAGTGCCCTTGGAACCAACACAGGATTGAAGGGTGGGTGCAGTGGCTCACGCCTGTAATCCCAATACTTTGGGAGGCCGAGGTGGGTGGATCACCTGGGGTCAGGAGTTTGAGACCAGCCTGGCCAACATGGTGAAACACTGTCTCTACTAAAAATACAAAAATTAGCCGAGTGTGGTAGTATGCCCTGTAGTCCCAGCTGCTTGGGAGGCTGAGGCAGAATTACTTGAACCTGGGAGGTGGAGGTTGCAGTGAGCTGAGATCGTGCCACTGTAGTACACTCCAGCGTGGGTGACAGAGTGAGATTCCATCTCAAAAAAACCAAAAACAAACAAACAAAAAAACCACAGGATTGAGATGCGAGAGGAGCCATAATAAGTGTGTTAGGCCATTCTGCGTTACCATAAAGAATCTGTGACTAGGTAATTTACAAAGAAATACTTATAATTTATAATTGTCTCATGGTTCTGCAGGGTATACAGGAAGCATACAGGAGGTTTCTGCGGAAGCCTCAGGGAACTTTTTACTCATAGTAGAAGGTAAAGTGAGAGCAGAATAGTCACATGGCAAGAGAGGGGAATAAGAGAGAGCTGGGGGCAAGATGCCACATACCTTTAAACGAGAACTCACTCACTATCACAAGAACAGCACCAAGCCATGAGAGATCCGCACCCATGACCCAAACACCTCCCCCGAGGCCCTATCTCCAAAACTGGGGATTACATTTCAATATGAGATTTGGGGGAACATGCAAACTATACCAATGAGTGTCCTATAGCACATGTCATGGTATTTAAAACATGGGTGATCAAATTCGTTTTGTACTGCTCTAAAGGATATTATCAAGTTAATTGGTGAAGTTTAAATAAAGTCTGTATATTGAAGTATGGTACCAACGTAATTTCCTGTTTTTAGAGACTATCATTTTTGGAGGAGATGGAGGAAATATATATCGACATATTTATTTATTTATTTATTTATTTATTTATTTATTTATTTATTTATTTTTTTGAGACAGAGTCTCGCTCTGT